CATCCGAGTCAGTCGCCACCCTCGGAATCTATTGCGTTATAGGAAAAAGGCCGAGGCCCTTTCCTGGAGAACTAGCGTGCAACCACTACCGGTTTTCGTGGGACGATTGTCGTGACTCAGACAGTGCATTGCTGGACTGAAGAAATTATAGAGAAATGAGAATCAGAAGCTGCGTAACGTACGCCCCTGGCGGAGGCGTACTAGATGCTAAAGGGCACGGGGCACGTGTGTGTGCCTTGGTGCCCCAGGCACATGGGGATCGCGAGGAACAAGATGGAGGACTGCTGTGCAGTTAAGGGGGTGGTTAATAAGACGCTTCTGCCCACGAAACAACGAAACCTTCTTCATTCACCCCTCAACTGACCATCATCATCGTCGTTGTTGAGTCACAGTATCCAACATCTCACTTGCTCCAACAGTGTTTGGTGGCTAAACGGGGACTCCTTGGCCTATCGATCGTTTTTGTATCCGTCAAAATCCTCCTGCAGCCCCCTGGTGACCCAGGCTACCTCTTTGACTCTTCAGATTCCGCTCTTGGAGGTCGCTCGCTACACATAACGTCCTCACGTATTCTGTTAGTCCATTTCGAGACAAGATGCGTCATCCCGAGCGTCACCCACAGGGTAACTCAGATGCATCACGTCGTAATAGCGGCGGTGGTAGCAGTAGCGGCAACACTCACAGGCACTCACACCAAAGCGTACGATGTCACGATCTTTGAATTCGAGCTCGAAACTGACTAAATGTAGTCTACCTCTGGTGTGGCCGCATTGACCTCACCTCCACCACAAGTCCCTACCCATGATCCGAGCAGAGATTCAACGTACACTCGAGCGCATCGTTCATCAAGATCCGACCAAGCGTATCCGAATGGTACGGCCAGCAACCACTCTCCGAATGGAGCACCTTACCAGGCACATCCTCAAAACCAAGCGCCGAGCTTCTACAATCCACCACATTATTCGTGGACTGCGTACTCGTCAACTCATCTTCAAATTCCGACCTACGACACATCCGGTAGAGATTTCTACGCATCTCCAGTGTTCCAAACAGCACCACCAGCGGGTACCGTTGCACAGCCACAACAGGTACCCACTGGCGGCCTCCTCCCCCATCAGACTGCGCCTCGACGACCCGAACCTTACGACGCTGTCGGATACGTCAGGAGTGACGGAGAAGTGTACGACAGAGATGAAGTATATGAGGAGTACAGGCCATACGATCCATATGCCCATCAACGTAGACACGGAGGATACTACGGAAATAACGGAATATCGCATTAATGACAACACGACGGAATGATATGAAATAACTTTCGGCTCTCTTATGGTTATATACACAATGGTCAAGGGCGTTTATGGATAGGCTATGGTTTTGGCCCCAGGTTTCTTCCTTTCGGTAGCGATGTACGGCTTCACATGCACCTATCAGCCTGGCGCTTATGGTGTCATTTCTTACACACATGGAAATGTTGAAGGATATCTTTTGGAGCCTTTTTCGCTGGTGCGCTTTCCTCATTCCAATTGATGCCTTGTACGACTGCTGGTACAGCCATTGTTTATTTGCATATCCATCACCGCATTTACAGTGCATTAGCAAGCGCGTAGTTAGGCGTTTGAAAGATATTCTCAATCTAATTTCTCTCATTCGCTCTCCTTGGTCGCTTCTGCATGCTGTGAACCTGTTGACATTTTCCCATTCCACCAGGTCCTCTGACTCGGATCCGACGTAGTTGAGCCGCATGACGCTGACATATCTGCCCGTCGGCGAAAATGACACATACACCTCTCACCGGAACTTCACCGGAACTTCACCGGAATTGCGATCGTCCATCAGGAAGCAAGGCCACCACTCACCTGATGCTGATAAGGTAGTCGTAGAGGAGGACTCTGTCACCGGAAAGGTATGCGTTGGCCAGTAAGATATGCTACTGTATCAGGTGTGGCAGCAATATCGAGGAGACGAGGACCACCATGAAACAGAGCTCTGTCAGCCAGTCGATGACAGAAGGACTCGCTCGCTTCTGCCAAAAAAAGATATTAGGTCCTTCTTGGAGGCTTTATCGTGATGCATGCGAAGAAGGAGAGGACGTCTTGGGTTGCCGAGTGTCTGCTATGCAGGCACATCGCTTGACCAGGAAGACGTAGATCTGCCAACGTGCATGCCAATGTCTTGCGTTGCGGCTGTTCTGCTGCAAGGTTTCCATGCATATTAGATCCGCAGTATGGTATTGTCCAGTCGGACTAGCAGACTGATAAATTGGCACTCACACAATGCCCCCATCCATGGGGGACCATGAGGCGATCATCGCTTACCATCTAGCGACACATTGGTATGTGGGCAGAGGGCAAAACGGAGGCATGCCATCCGATCGGTAAGGTAGACCCCACATGACTGTACGACCGATGATGTTTCGATATCGCTTTGAGGCCGCCAGCCAACTAAATTTAGCATGAAGGACCTGAATACGTGTAGTAGACTCGACTCTCACAAGGCGCTCGATATCAACCGACACTGACAATGTGCGACGAAGCTGTTCTACCATTGGCACCTGGTGCTAGAGCATGCGTGGTGGAAACAAACTTCACCAGAACGGGAAGCATGTACCGAGTCGTGGTTCCTGCAGCTCGGTCCTGGGTTGCCAGCAGGGTTACGACTGTCACATGTCGCATGGTGGGCGAGCCCCGTATCCAGGTCAAGGGCGCAGACCCACAGATAGGTCTCTACGGTCATTGTACGGGCCTGATAAGCATGTCGGTCAAGTCCGAAATCTTTTCATGCTTATCGCTGAGCATGTCCATGGTATCCGACGAGCCAGTCGTGATGGTTGGTGGTTCCGGCTGTCACGAATTAAAGATGACGGGTAGTGACATCATGCTCGAAATAGTTAGCGCGGATCTATCCGCGCCTGTCAAAGGCGGGGAAACATCTGGGCCGTGGTCGTGCGACAAGCTCTAAACGAACTCCAGACCTCCCACGAAGCTGTCTTCCCGATTTTGGCATCTTTTGCGATCTTTGCTTCACTTTTTTTGTTCATCTAAAGGACTACATGCGTGCAGGGACGCCTGCCGCTAGGACGCGTAGTCCTGCGATAGTGGAGGCCTCCCAGAGGCCGGCTGTGGTAATCGTAAGATGATGCCTGGGCATTTTCTCAATGCCGTTAGGGCTGAAGCTCGATTTCAGTTCCAGGTCCCGCACGAGAATGGGCAGCTTCGCATGTGCTCAGGGAGGGAATTTCGTGCCGTATGCCGTCCCTCCAGCTCATGCGAAGACAGCAGATGCTGGCTGCTTATCGCGGCTGCCCTTGCTTGATGTTGTGAGAAGCACGTAGCTTCTTGGCGAGCCGAGGTTTCGCGAAGCGCCGCTACGATGGAGAGCATCTATGTCTGGGTACCCGTTGCTGTAGCAGACGATGTGGAAATGAACAGAATCGATCCATGTCCAATGCAGCAGTGTGGGTCACGACTGAGGCTTGCCGTACCGATTCTCGGTCTCTGTAATCTGTTGAGGCTATTGGCTTAGGTCGAGAGCATCAACACCTATGTCGTCTCACCGGTCTCATTCACCTTGGTAACAGTATCCACCATCTGGCTCAGCCTCACCTCAAGGCATACCTCAAGGCAGATTTGGTACTCTCGTTGAGGTCCGCGTGTTTTGGCCCCATGCCGATGGCTGTGCTGTTCGAAGACTGCGATTGTCAAGGCGAAGCATCCGATATATCTGAAGCTATGCCTCTTAGCTTTTTTCCAAAGAAGGTCGAGCCTTGAGAGTTTGAAAACAACCCCTTTGTTTGTTCGAACAGAGCCGCATCATTCTGGAACCGCTTCTGATGGCCGATTGATCCCCACGCCCACCACGGAAAAGCGCTCACATCAAAGCATGTTCCTTCTGGACTTTCGGAATCGCCAACGAACGATATACCAAAGCAACCGAATACCATCTTCGGGATGCAAGCCCAATCGTTGCCGCCGGTATCCAGGAATAGCTCCGCTTCACTTCTAGGACTTTAGCATCGCCTACGTTACCGGCGCCCGTTCTGGAACACGGTGTGGACAAAGTTCATATCAACCCCGATCGACAAACCCTCTCTCCACATTGGCAACGACATCCTTGGCGTCGCCTGCTTTCTTCCCCATGCCAATCATGTTGGCGCGCCCAATGAGCCATCACCAACTCGATAGCCCGAGACATTGGAGGCCCCAGGCAACAAGGATAGATGGTCGAGCTACCTGTTCCTACTTGGCCGCGTTAGTATCCAAATTAGGACGTACCCCGACCTTGGCGTTTACTGGAGAAATTTATACGTCTACCCATATACGTTGAAACTTAGGGCTGTCTAGTGCGATGCAAAGTCCTCGTCGACCTTTTGCCTTCTTCCGGATGGCCCTGGTGGAGGCTGCCGTTGGCAACAAGGTGAGTTGGGCTGCAAAGTAGTCCTTCAACTAGCTTGGAGCACTCCTGATGGCAGCTACTCGTCGCGCCACTGGTCGATAACGCGTGTTCCTGTTGCCAGTCAGCACAGTCCTTAAGGAACTTACATGTTCGCTGCTAGCCATGACGTCCATCGGTTCGATCGAGCTCTGGGGTTGATAAGGTCCTCCGGCGTTGCGAGGGCTCGTCGCCACATAATCCGAGACCGTCCCCGCACTCTGAAAATGCTCATTCACTTCGAGACGAAACGTCGCTGGCACATCACGTAAGTGAGTTGGATGTTCCTTCAATCGCTCTGTTCCAGTTTGAGCGCATTGTACTGATTTATCCCCAGCATTTCGACAACTCGGCACAATCTGGTCGAAGATACGACTGGGCCTGGTGCTATCCCGTGCATCTGCCACGGTCAATTCTACGCGATCCCATTCGATAACGCCAAGAGTTCATCACTCCAGTGGTGTTCAAAAGATCTTGTCGGAGAAGAGAGATCCTCTAGCAATAACGTACCAACCTCGAGGTGTCGAAAGTTCCTTCAAAAGATCTGTCAGTTCTCAATCCGAACCCACCGGATGGATCCTCAACGCTACACCAACGTCAACTACGACGAGCCTCCACCGCCTTACGAATATCTGCAAGATCAAGAACTTCCTGGCTCATCGATTCACGAACTTCCAGATCGGCACATACCCACTCAGGAACTTGAAGAATTCCATGGGCTCACTGAGTTAGAAGGTTCTCCAACTCAAGCCAGCCAAGCATCGTACCCGCTTTCAAACGAAGCCAGTGAGCGCGTTATGAACACCAGCCCTTCAGTGCTACAGCCATCCAACCCTAGCGAGGATCAAATGTTACTCTGGAACCTGTATACGCAGCAGCCCTTCGCCACAGCGCCCAGTATGACCCGCGATGGACAGTCACATACATCGTCGCCCATTTCACCTAGCACACCTGATTTTGATGGTCTTGGCTCCATCCAGTATCATTCAAATCGAGATGTGGCATCTGGTACGGTATCGCCCCTAGAGAGTGTCTCGTCCTACAGAGGCTACTGGTCAAAGTCGCACTTGGTGGACATAGACTGCAACTATGCTTCGCGCATCAGCCTTCCGACCTCGTCGGAAGCAAGCCCCGTGGAGTCTTTCCGAGAACTAGGGCAGCAATCCGAAACGGGAAACTTCCACATGCAGCAAGACGGCTATTCCTCTTCTGCGGTATCGCTCGCGCCCACAGACAATGAACAATATAACCCCAACAACGATTCGCTTCTCCCATGGGATGGGGTAGTGCTACAACCTTATGGGCGATCGCACAGCACCGCACGCATTCCCTTGGGTGATTACACGTATTCTGATAACCTTGGATGGCGATATTGTGGCGGGTACGGGATAGAGGAGACTGCGGATGAAGAGGCCAAGCACACGATGTTAGCAGTCAGCAAGCCGGACTCTTCGCAGCCAGCTAGCAACTTCTTTGAGAATCAACAGCCGTCGCGCAAGTACATTGAGCTCTACGACCACCAAGATCCTGAGCTCCGCATCGCGTCAAGACCAGATGACATCGATCATCCGCTAGTGCCTTGTGCTCAATGCAACAAAACATTTAGTGGCAGGTACGTTTCGCTTCTTCATATTTCGCTTCTCCATCGGTATTGACTTGACTACAGGTATGGGAAAGGTAACTTGAGACGACATGTCCTCGCTTTCCACAACCCACTGGCGACCGTGTTGGGGACAGCGTGTCGTGTCTGCAAGAAGGCGTACAGACGCGCGGATGCCACACGAAAACACGAGTGGAACAAACATCAAATCTCGGACGCAAAGCCTAAGAAACGAGCGAAGTAGTCGCGCCAGTCGCGACGGTTATGATCGACTACGGATATCAATGTGCCGTGGTGCAGATCGGAAGCTGGGATTCTTCCCACCCTGGTGGTACACATGGCTGCTTGCGGCTTATCTCTTCCTCTTCTTTCAAACGCACTGAGTGCTCTTGCCGCGCTGGAGCGCTCCTAATGTTTGTGGCGTATGTGCGCATTTTCCAATTCCACAGGTGGAATTTTAATGTATACTGGGCATCGAACGTATCCAATCATTGATCCAATGACTGTCAGATCATAATCTGCTATGCCAAGTAGCGATATGGTATGCCTCGTAGATTCCGTATCGTAACCTCTAGGCAAGCCGAAGTTAGCCGGTTCTGAGAATGACTCATTTGTATGCGGCTCTGCGAGTCGACCAGTACGTTTTGAGATGCTTCATCAGGCGATGTTGTGGTATGTCGGCAAGGTTTCTCATACACCGCATTTCACTCTCACCGATCAGACCAATTCGCTTGCGCCCAAGTAAGAATACGCCCTGGGAATCCATGCGCCCACGTGGAGCCCTCGCCCTTCAAGCCCTCCAAGCCCAGCGAAACTAGTGAATCCTGGGGGCGCAGCGTAGTGCGGCTCTGCTGCTTGCATCGCGATCCAATTAGATGCTGCAAGTGCTCCCGAAGGCGCATGATTCGGATTATAGGCATACTATTAGCCGGTAGACTAGCAGGTGATTGATTGTGATCGGCTCAGGTTTCGTCATGGCCTTCCAGATGCTTTCAGCTTCCACGGCCCGATACCTAGTCCTTCAGAGTTCTAGCTGCATGACATTCGTGGTCAATTTAAGCTTTGAGCTATAGGGTTTATAAAGTACCGTCGACAAAGTCTAGACCTGGCCTTCCGAGCACATACAAGTCTAGTGCTTCAAGGGGCCTGGGTGCGTCATGAGTAGAAGTGCTGAGATGTCGTTCAGCATCGCGCTGACGTTGCCAACGCATCCACCGCTTGTAGAGTGACGGCGATCATGATGGCAAAAAATAGATATATGCAATATGCGAAGCTCTCACCGCCGGACGAGAGAAGCCGGAAAATCGGTTTCGTCGACACGTGCAATATGTATTGGGTCGTTGCAAAGACCAATGAACTTCTTACTGCCATGCTAGGAGACTCGCAGAACATGATTCGAGCGCTCTGCAGCTGGATGTATCGGCTGTACAGCTCAATGCTGCTGCGGCAGGGCGTTTACCACGGCGAAATCTACCAATGGCTTGACAAGTGATCTTGGGAAAGAGTGACGAATGCACCTTCCTAATTAGTAATGAGAGAGCCTCGCGTCAGCCTTTGTCAAGTACTCTGGGACCTGACAAGTATGCCAATACGGCGGTCGTGTACGGGGCCGAAGAGTCAGTAGAAGGTGGTATGGATAGAGACTTTTTGCAACATCCGGTACCTTTCCATACATGACCATTAGGATGTTGAATGAGTCACGCGCCTATGGATAGCCGATCTGCACCAGATGTACAAGTTGGATTTCTGACAGATAGCGCTCAAAACCCCGTTAATGACAGAATGCGCGATCGGCACTGAATACCGGCCAGCTTCGTGGGTACTGCATCCGGCTCGGAAAGTAGTGATTGAGAAGGATTGTTTGTCGGGCGAATGAGCAATTCGTCTACCAGGTGTTCATGGTACAGGAGTTGAAGAGGGCCGGCTCCACTTTTCATGCTCCAGCTTGATTAAGATCTGTATTGTGGCAAAGGAAAGGGCCGAGCTCGATGATGATACTCTTTCGAGTCGCGGATGCGGGTCTCACAACCCGGAATGCGTCCCGCTGTCAGAGACGTTTGCAACGTAGGCGCTAGAACGAGGCAGCGCCACTCGCTACCACCCTTCGCTCTTCAGCTAAGTCGGACGCGGCGCAAAGTAGCGAATACTACACGGATCTATTCCTAGTCACTGCGACACCGTTGCAGTCCGGCCCGAACATGTATGGGTTCAGGAATCGACATGCTTAAGCTGCCGAGGTACGCGACGCGTTGGTAGAGAGGCGGCTCGACTTCCAGGTTTTGACGGCTAATTCGTAGCCGCGGTTGCGGAGGAGCCTCAAAAGGGACGGATGTGATCGGCGGCCATTCCCAATACACAGTTACAATCGAAGATGGTGCGGTCTACTGCGTGATTGCTTGCGTGGAGAATGCAGATGCGATGTGGGGCCGAGTCTTGTGGGCTGCTCAAGATCGGCGCATTCGAGCTGGGTTCGCAGCAGCGGCTACCCAGAGCACAATCCCTTTGTTGAGCGATGCAAAAGTTCTGGTACTCCACGCCGTTGCACCTAACAGGATGCGCATGTATTCGACAACTTTTGCTAAAATGATGCGCGATGCTTGATGGCCGCCCGCATGTTGAGGGCACGCATGCGCGAGGGGCGCTCGTTGTCTAGACTATCCTGCTGCAGGTCGAGGTGCAGCTGGGTGTGCCACGGACCGTCGACTGGACGAGCGCGTAAGCTGGCCCGTGGTGTAGGTATTCGGCTTTAGACAAGATTTCGCCATGCTCGGTAACGTCAGAGAATGGTGAACAAGTCTCCAACCGTAAAACGTGGTTATAGGTTGATGTTGGCTCGCTCCTTGACCGCAAGTGTCATCAATGTTTGACTGAGACGGCGAAACCTGTAGCCTAGATACGAGGTGTCCAATCTGAAGTTGAAGTTTGACGTGAGGACGAAACGTACCCAGCACTGCTGCCCAACAATGGCGAAAAGTGCATGCAACCGACTACCTATCCATCTTCCGTAGTCATGTTTTCCAGCTGGCACTGGATGTTGCAGATGATCTTCCAAGAGACGCCGGCTCGTTTTGGTACCCCACTTACGCATATGCGTATGTAGGCGCGGCAGAAGGTGCTGCAAGCCACTGCGCGTACATACAAGCGTCTGCAGTTCTCATGTCGGTGATAATCAGCGCTTGGTAAGGTGTTGCCGATTAAAAGCTGCCGGACGCCCGGACGTCGCGGCTCAAATTCCTGTGAAGCCCTGTCGCCAGCCTGGGGGGTTGATTCTGTCACGAGTCTCTACGCGGTTTGATCGTCCTGCTATCGCCACTCGTATCGTCCTGCCCTCGACTAGACATACCCTGCGCGCATCCCACGGGAGGCATTCTCTTAATGCCGAAGTCACGAATCTCTCCGACCTGCAGCCACCCAGCGTCACGCGTGGAAACATCTGTGATGTAGGTACTGGTCGTGGTGGCTTGGGCATCTACGTTGATGATACCAGGGGCATGGATACGCTAGTATAACGGAGGCGGCCGTGTTGTAGTGACAGTAGGCAACAGGCAGATGGCCAACGTGACACCGTCGTCAAGATCAGACTGTGCGTATAACAGATCCATGGTGACACCAAAGTTCCTAAGCACTACCCTGATCAGCCAAAACTTTTTTACCGCGTTTTGAAACGTTAACCGTCAATTCCTCCAATAGCGAGATTGCTGATGTGGTTACACTGATTTCGTAGTCGCTTCTTGGCCCTCGAGGTCCTCCATACCAAGTCGCGTCCTCGATTCGTACGGGCCCATTATATGTCGCCGGCACCGCGAGCCTTACCTCACGAGGCCACCACCACCATCGCCGCCACCTCCCCTCCCTCCTCCTCCCCCTACTCCTCACCCGCATAGTGTTGCCTCAGCAGCCCACCTCAAGTTCGAAGCATACCTCTCCTTTCGCCTGTAGTCGCACTAGTCGATGCCATTTACGGCAGTCCGGCGACAACAGTCTTTACTGGGGAGCACAACTGTCCTTGCGTCACCCCGGCTGTCGAAAATATCCAGCGTCATCGAGACATTCCTATATTCCATCCGTCGCTGTCGTCAGGAAAGGGCCAAGAGCTACCTCGTCTAAGGGAGGCTGCCATATCGGAACGGCGCGCCTTAGTCATTGTCCAATCTGAGCCTCGCGGCCAAGTGCCATTCACACCACGATACATCGTCAAGACATTGAGCAACATCAAGACCTCCGGCTACCAGTCCCTTCGACACCCGCCAACTTCGAACCAAGCATCAGGTCGCCCCCTCATCTTTCACGCGTTCCTATCACCAAGCAATCCGACGTTCCAAGTTCTCATTGGTCTCAGCATCGCATCGCGTCTCTTCCAACGATCTTTGGCACAGCCGCAGCTTTGAAAAGTCCCAAACTCGACCATCGTCTTCGCCTCGAATAAACATCAAAAGACCCATTCTTTCTCTTCGACTTCCGTGCTTCAGTCGGAAGAATGGCAGGCCGTCACCGCAGGGCGAAGCGCCCCAGCCCAGTGGACTCAAGCTCCGTCGAATACGGGACTCAAGGAGTTGACTCTTGGTCGCAACCTTTACAGAATGCTGGCAACGACGGCCGTACTTCGTATCCCAACGCATGGATAAACGATATTCAAGAACCGAACGAAACACCCTCCACGCATTGGCGGTGGGATAGAGAGAGGACAGAACAGCCTCTCTATCAATCTGTGTCTGGGGAGCAATATGCAACGAATGCTCAACCAGGTGGATATCAACCTGTAATGCAACAAGCCATGCACTTACACTATGCCGAAAGGATTATCGACAGTGGATTGCTGCAGGATACTCGAACACAGCATAGGGTTGGTACCTCAAACACGGTCGAGGCCCAGCGCCACTGGAATGGCGCCTACGATCTGGAGAGCTCGTTCGAATCCACACTAAACGACACATCTCGTCTTGACCCTTGGCCACAAAGTCAGCATGCGATTGAAAATCCCTTGCAAGGCCACGAGCGTGATGCCATCTCCTCCTCGTCCCTGGGCTTCACCACAGCACAACAATCCACGCAGGATGCAGACCGTTCTTACGAGGTTTCGGGTATGTCGCCAATGCTTGGAACTCAGGATCTCGGATATGTTGGCAATGGAAGCATTGAACTTCCCTTGATAGGCATTGATAGGACACAGACTGGTGCCAACCCAGAACCTTGGTCTTTATACCAGCCGCCCGAGGCGTCTCGTCTTGCCCAACAAGATGACAG